TCTGGTTTTATAGATGGCCAGTTTCGCTAAGGCCAGAAGGAGGTTGACCAGGAGGTCCCGCGACTTTGTGGGGCGACGGATAGGGAGTGCATAAATAAAAAGGTGTGGAGAAAAGTGCAACCAAAATCTTAACAAAATATCTGTGAGGAGCCGGAATAGGGGCTGCAGCCTGGCGCACTCCAGGTAAACATGCGCCAGGGTCTCCCTCACGCCGCAAAAGGGGCAGGTGTCTGGGATAGGGGTAAACCACGCCAAGTACACGCCCGTGCTCACGGCTCCATGAAGGAGCCGCCAACTGATGTCCCCGGTGGGCTTCGGGATCAGAGCAGAATAAAGGCTGGCCCACCGGGGCTCCTCACCCTCCAGAGGTGGCAGAAGGTAACGCCACTTTGTATCGGGGCGGGACGCGAGGGTGAGGACATGAAGAACATGGAGCACGAGCATGTATAGATGTTTCCTTGGCGCGGTCCGGAACAGAACCGGCTGCAAATGGTGCAGCCGGCTCATGGCGAATGGACGGGGAGGGGGCTGGTTGGGTCCACGGGGCAGGGGCCCGATGAAAAAGTCTGGAGGGCTCGGAGTGGAGGGTGGGCGGGGCGTGCCCTCTCGCAGGACCCGGTCGAGATAGTCCCGAGCAGCGGGCAGCAAAGCGGCCCTCACCTCCTGAAGTACGCGCCGGGGAGTACGAGGTCTGGAGAGCCCCATGCGCTGAGCGAGCATCAGGGGATCCAGCCAGTCTCCTCGGTCGTAGTCCAGGAGGTCTCCGACTTTGGTGACCTCTGCTAGGACCAACCTCTGGCGCACCATGGGGGACTCCGCCACCTGCACACGAAGCTGGGGGTTGTGTAGCAGGGGCTCCGCGAGGAGATCTGCCCCCACGGTGGCCGCCACGGACCTGGTCACTGAAAACAGTTTCCAGGTCCGGAGGAGGTCCTGGTAGAAGACCGGCAGCTCGGAGAGGCCTCGCGGAAGACCTCTCGGATGGAGACAAAGGAGCTGCCGGTCATATCGGAGCCCTCGGAAGCGGCGCAGGAAGGCGTGCGCCAATATGCTCCATGCCGGACTACCTGCACCATAAAGGAGCCTCTGCAGGGCCTGGAGGCGGAAGACGTGGACCTGAGCGTGCAGACACTTCAGGCCCTGCCCTCCCTCCTCCAGGGGTAGATGGAGAACCCCCGCAGAGACCCAGTGCAGTCCTGACCAAAAGAACTCCAGAATCAATGTCCGGAGGGTGGTCAGGAAGCCCGGGGCCGGGACCAGGGTGTTGAGCCGGTACCAGAGCATGGACAGGACTAGTTGATTGAGCACCAGTGCTCTCCCTCGAAGGGAGAGACACCGGAGCAGTCCTGTCCATTTCCGGAGCCGCTCCGACACCCTGCCCTCTAAACCTAGCCAGTTCTCCAGCGGAGGCGGATGCGTGGCAGAAAGGTAAACGCCGAGATAGAGCAGCGGACCCGCGCTCCACCGGATGGCCTGAAGCGCGGGTGGGAGGGAGCTCGCCTGCCACCTGTCCCTACCACCAGGCCAGAGCTCTTGACCCAGTTGACCCGGGCGGAGGAGGCCGCCGAATAGATGGTCTGGCAAGCCTCCACCCGCATCAAGTCGCCTGGGTCTTGGACCACAAGGAGCACATCGTCGGCGTACGCCGACAGGACCAGCCGCAGCTCCGGCTCCCGCAGCACCAACCCTGCCAACCTCCTACGGAGGAGACAGAGGAAGGGCTCGATCGCCAGGGCATACAGCTGGCCCGAGAGGGGGCACCCTTGACGTACTCCTCGCCCGAAGCTGACCGGTTCGGTCAGGGTCCAGTTGAGCCTGACCAAACACTCTGCGGAGGCATACAGCACCTGGAGAAAACCCACAAACTGGGGCCCGAAGCCAAACGCTCGCAGAGTGCCCAGGAGATACCCGTGGTCCACCCTGTCGAACGCCTTCTCCTGATCCAGGGACAGGAGGGCGAAAGACAGACCATCCCTACACCCGAGTTCCAAGAGGTCCCGGACCAGATACAAGTTGTCGAAGATGGTGCGGCCCGGGACGGTGTAGGTCTGGTCTGGGTGGATCACGTCCGCCAGCACGGACCCTAGCAGCAGCGAGATGGCCTTCGCTACGATTTTATAGTCCGTGCTGAGGAGCGAGATGGGACGCCAATTCCGTAAATCGCGGAGGTCCCCCTTCTTCGGCAATAAGGTGAGCACGGCTCGCCTGCACGAAAGAGAGAGGACCCCGCCCTGCAAGGACTCGGCCCAGACGGTGACAAGGTCTGGGCCGAGGACATCCCAAAACACGAGGTAGAACTTCACGGTCAGCCCGTCCATGCCCGGAGATTTATTGGTGGGCATGCGACGGAGGGCTTCCGAGAACTCGGCCAGAGTGTGAGGTAGCTCCAGCCGGTCTCGGTCGCCCGCGCTGACCGTCAGGAGTTCATCCCGTAGCATTCTGCAAGCGTTAGGATCGGTCGGATCCGGGGAGAAAAGGCCTGCGTAGAAGGCCCTGGCCCTCCCGCACATTTCCACTGGATCCGTGAGGGGGGTGCCGTTCTCTGCTAGAAGGCAGGTGACATGCTTCTTGGCCCCCTCTTTTTCTCCAGGGCGTAGAAGAAGCGGGAGCCGCGATCCATCTCCCGAAGGAGGCGGATGCGGGATCGAACAAAGGCACCTCGGGCCCGATGGTACTCGAGGGTCCGGAGCTCTTCCCGCTTCTCCCGGCACGCTCCGCAGAGGGATGGATCGCAGGGCTGGCGGCCAGACGCCTCTCCAGCTCTAAAACCTCCCGTTCCAACTGCCCTATCGTCGCATCCCTCCGTCGGCTGGCGCCCCGGGTGTAGTCACGGCAGTAGAGCCGGGCGCGCACCTTCCCCAGGTCCCACCACCACCGCGCCGAGGGAAAGGCACGCCGTTGCCCTCGCCAGGCCAGCCAGAACTCCCGGAAGGACGCCAGGAAGCCCACATCCTCCAACAAGCTATTATTAAAGTGCCAATAGGCCGGCCCCGGCCTCTCCGCGCAGAGAGAGGCTGTCACGGTGGCTAGATGGTGATCTGAAAAAGGGGCCGGCCGGACGCTGGAGGAGTGGGCCCGGGAAAGATGGAAGCGTGACATATAGATGCGGTCCAACCGGGAGTGGTACGACCGATGGACCTCCACCCGGACAAAAGTGAATGTAGAGACGTCATCCGGGTGGTGGTCGCGCCAGACGTCCACCAGGGAGTGATGTTGGACGATCTCCCGGAGGACATCCGCGGCGCCCTGGTGCTGCTCGGTCCCCGAGCGGTCCCGTTCCTCAAGGGTGGCATTAAAGTCCCCGCCCAGGACCAGGCACTCGTGAGGATCCAAGGTGCTGAGGAAGGCGGACACCTGCTGATAAAAACACAACCTCTCTGGGCCCAATGTCGGGGCGTAAACGTTGACGAGATTAACCACAAGCCCCTCCATGCGGACCCGGAGGTGCAGCAGGTGGCCCGGCACAGCCTCGGCGACCCCCAGCACCTCGGGCAGTAGGTCGTGGGAGAACATGGTCGCCACTCCAGCCGTACGAACTGTGAGGTGGCTAAAGTAGACCCTGTCCCCCCACTCCAGCCGCCAACTTGCTTCAGCGGCCGGATCCGTATGGGTCTCCTGCAGGAAAATCACAGAGTACCTCCCCTCCCGAAGGAAGGAGAGCACCTGGCTCCTGCGGAGACCCATCCTACAGCCCCGGGTGTTCAATGTTGTGAAGATGATCGGTGCCATGAGGAGGGCTGGGGGGGATCCTCGCCGGCAGAGACGCCCACGGCCTCTGTCGGGCCATGCAACAATCCGTGACCTACCCCGTAGGCGATTAAGGAGTCACGGAAGAGGCGGACCCGTTGGTAGGCCGCGGCGGCCTGCCTCCCGGTCCTCTTACCCTCCCCCATGAGGGCCCTCGCGGCCCGGAGGATCTGATGGAAATCCCCCCATCTCTGGAGTGCAAGCTGTACCTTGTTGCGGGAGCCACGGACGTCTTCAAGGAACTCCCGTAGCTCCTCTCTCAGCGTATGGGGGGGGTGGGGTTACCGATCTATGGCTATCCCCCAGCGGGGCCCCTGTCACAGTCCCGTGGCCCACCGAGATGGGCAAGCAGGGGGCAGACCCTCGACGTGGCGTCCGATGGGCTGGCGCCACGTGGCCCGCCTCAGACCCTGGCTCAATGGGGGGCGGCGGAGGGAAAATAGCAGCCCCCGGTGGGTCGGGGCAGGGAAAAACAAAGGCTGCTCCTTGGGGGTCATCCTCTCGGATATGGAAGGAGATGGCCTCAGGGGCGGCAATAGTATCACAGGAAGTGGAGGGGACAGGGACGGGGTCGGTGTCAGGGGCAGGGTCGGAGTCAGGAATAGGGGCAGGGGAAGGGGCGATAGAGGGATCGGGGGCCCCAGCAGTCAGGCCACTGGGTGGGGGGGGTGGCACCCCGCAAATGGGCTCAGGGATTTGCGGGGAGGGAGGTGGGCCCTCCGCGATGCCGGGCTCGTGCTCCAAGGCAGATGGTAAGGCCACGGCATCCGTAGGTGGAGAATCAACGATGGAGCCCCCACCCAGGAAGGAGGTCGGCTGCCCCTCAGCCATGAGGGAGTCCCCTGGCAACTCGGGTCCCGGCTGCATGGCACTGGTCGTCGCCTCAAGAGGCTCGGTGGCCGCTAGCGGGGTGCCATCTGTGGCCGGGTTGGTGGAAGAGTCCAGGGGCTCCCCGGGGACGGGAGTGGAAGCAGTGGGTAAGGGGATGGAACATGGGGAAAGGGGGGCTGAGGCGAGGTCGCTCAGATCGAGGCCCGCTGGTAGAGGGTCGTCCTCCCCCTGGGTAACCGGGGTCAGACCCAGGGCCTCGATCTCCTCATAAATGGAGGAGAGATCACCTTCCACCACCCCAGGGCTCTCCCCGCCTGCACCCGAAGTGACGCTCGCCTCGGTGCATTCAGGGGCTTCAGATTGTAAGGGGGCGAGAGGGGCTCCATCAGGGGCTTCCATAGGAAGGGACTCCGAAGGAGGGGCAGTGCCATCCTCCGATGCTGCCACGTCTTCCCCAGCCGGCAACGGTGGACAAAACCCACCCGGGGGCAAAGCGGAATGCTCAGCATCGGTGCCCCCCTTCCTGGTCTTCCGGGGGGCTACCGCATCAGATGGAAGGAGCGGAGCTCGAGCCTTCCGCTTGCCCCGCTTCCCCTGTACTAAGGACCAGCCCTCCATGGCATCATCCGGGGGATGACTAACAGGAGTCGGGTCAGGGAGCAAGGGCGAAGGCTTAGGGACTCGGGGAGGCAATGGTGGGGTAGCATGTAGGAGGGAGGATTCTCCCTGGGGCATGTCCTCTTCTATGCCCGGCGGTATCCCTACCTCACCCTCCTCCACAGGCCCCGCCACATTGCAGGTGGCAGAGGCGGGGCTTTCCCGCTCGTCTATGCACACTGGGGGAAGATACCTCTTGGGCCCGAGCGGGAGTGTTGGTGGGCCGGAAAGGAGGAGGGGCGGCTTCGGGCGCCGGGCAGCTAGGGGCGCCGGCGATGACGGGGCCGGCGCCCTGCTGGGGCTCGGGGGTCCCGGATGTCCCTCCGTGCCGGGCCAAGGGGCAGTCCCTCCGGACGTGTCCCATCGCCCGGCAGAGGTAGCACCGGGCCTCCCCCGTTAAATAATGCACCCGGTAGCGGGCCCCCTGGTAGGGGACCAAGAAGGACCCCTCGAGTGCCTCACCGTCACGTGCCGCCGGCGGCAGTTGTAACTGTACCTGCCGGCGGAACGAGAGGACATAACGGAGGGCGGGGTCTTTGCAGCCCAATGGGAGAGGGCTGACCACAGAGATCGGCCTCCCCAGGGTAGAGAGGGCAGGTAACAAGGCGGCGTTTGGAAGGAAGGGAGGGACAGAAGTCAGGACCAGTCGGGCGCCCAGGTCTTCTAGCAGTTCCAGGGGGACGTACACACCCCCCACCGCCAGGCCCTTCTCCACTGCCTCCTGGGCGGCAGCCTCCGATGCTAGGAAGAAGACGACCTTTCCGTACATCTTGGAGGCTGCCACAATGGCCGTGGGCCCCACCACCCTCGCCAACGCCCGCACATAGGTCTCCACGTGGGGCGAGGCGGGTACCAGGAGGCAACGGACGTCGTGCTTCCTGGTCAAGGTGGGGAAGGGGCCCCGGCCGCTATAGATGGTAGCAGAGGTGGTGGATGGGGGAGATGACGTAGCGGCAGGCGGTGGGGCCTCCGCCACCTGGGCGTATGCCCTGGGGGTCGGGGGAGGAACACCCACAGAGCTGGTGGAGGGAACAGCAGGGAGGGACGCCGTGGCCGATTGAAGGGCCGCGGCAGTGGGGGCATCCCCTGCCATGGAGGGTCTGGCTTTTTTAGCGGGGCCTTTACCCTTCTTTGTGCCCTGGCCCTTCCTGCCGGTTGGAGGGACTCCCCCAGAGTCAGAGGGGGCGAGGGACGTGGCAGCAGCGGAGGTCACCTCGTTACCCACCGCTGCCGGTGCTCCAGCAGGGGTGGTAGGAGGTGGCTCGGCAGCGGCGGTTGAGGTAGAGGCTAGGGGGGACGATGGTGGGGTGGGTGGAGGAGGGGCAGCAGGGTATGCCCGAGGGGTCTCACTCTCCTCGTCCCCTGCCATAATGAGGACGAGGGGAGAGCAAACACTGGAGGGGGGGTAGGGAAGGGGGAAGCAGGTCGACCACTCCTCCCCGCTAGGCTGTAGGCAGGGGAGGAGGGCACCAAAAAAAAAAAGGGGGGGGGGGGGGGGGGGGGGAGGAAGGGCTAGGGGTCAGTCACCGACTCAGGGAAGGTTTCCGGCTCCTCTTGTTGCACCAAGGAAGGGAGGATCTAACAGCATTGGGGGGGTGCAGTGAGAGAGAATCAAACTAAAACGGGGAGGGGCACAAGTGCATAGGAGGGGACATGGGCGCACGAGGGGAGGGGCTAATCAGGGCAAGGGGACCACAGGGGGAAGGGAGCAACCGGGCGGGAAATGGGGCAGAGGAACCACGGGGCTAGCTTCGGAGTCTGGGGCGGGTCAAACAAGGCTGCAGAGGGAAAGGGCGGGGCAGGCAAACAAACTGGAGATAGCGAGGGGCTGGGGCAAGGGGGAGGGGCAAAAGGCAGCAAGGGGCAAATGGGTAGGCAGCAGGGGCAAAGCTGGGGGCTTGTTGCAGGGGGATGGGGGTTAGTCAAAAAGGGGGGGGGGGGACGTGCACCCACGTGCGCTTGCAACAAAAAGAAAGTCCTTGGAAGCTGGCTGCTGTATTAGGCCCAATGGTGGCAACAGGGTGTAGCTAGCCTAGGTGAGCAGCTGAAATCCCAGAGGCAGGAGCTCGAGGTAGATGGTAAGTAGCCAGTGGGGGTGGTGGAGGGGGCAACGATGATGGTGGTGGTGGGGATTGGGGGGGGGACACAGATGGACCAGGGGGCAGGCTCCACACCACACCCCCTGTGTCTCCACAAACACAGTCTAGATCCCCACCACAAGAGCACAGTTCAAAAGTTACTCAGTCCGGGAGGGCCCCCTCCACGGTGGTCTGTAGAATTCCTACGCGCTCCCCCACTGGCAGATGGTCCTCTTCTTCTCCTCCTCCTCGGGGCTCCAGCAGCTCCCCAGCAGCAAACACAGCAGCTCCAGGCGGCAGTCTGGTGGCCAGCAGGAAGGACCCTTCTCAGGTGGTGGTCAATGGTGGTGGCATCCCCAGCAGCAGGAGCAATGGCTGGGGTCTCTCCCTCCCCTCCTCTGGGGAGTGGGCCAGCAGGCCCCCCCCAAGGGGCTGTAGCTGGAGCAGCAGCAACCAAGGGTGCGGGTGGGTCTAGCAGCCAGCCAGCAAGCAGGTAGCAGAGAAAGAGGAGGAGCAGCCCCCTCCCTCCCTCCCTCCCTCCCTCCCGGCCAGAGGGCTACAGGAGAGTGATCAATTATTCCCAAGTCAGACAGGGTTTCTGTTCCCTGAGTGACTAGAGCAGGGGCTGCACTAGACTAATCAGGAACCTGCTAGAACCAGTTAAGGCAGGCAGGCTAATTAGGACACCTGGAGCCAATTAAGAAGAAGCTTCTAGAATCAATTAAGGCAAGCTAATCAGGGCACCTGGGTTTTAAAAACGAGCTCACTTCAGTTTGTGGTGAGAGTGTGAGGAGCTGGGAGCAAGAAGCGCAAGGAGCTGAGAGTGAGAGGGTGTGCTGCTGGAGGACTGAGGAGCACAAGCGTTATCAGACACCAGGAGGAAGGTCCTGTGGTGAGAATAAGGAAGGTATTTGGAGGAGGCCATGGGGAAGTAGCCCAGGGAGTTGTAGCTGTCATGCAGCTGTTACAGGAGGCACTATAGACAGCTGCAGTCCACAGGGCCCTGGGCTGGAACCCGGAGTAGAGGACTGGCCCGGGTTCCCCCCAAACCTCCCAATTGACCTGGACTGTGGGTTCTCCCAGAGGGGAAGGTCTCTGGGCTGTTCCCCAACCCACATGGTGAATCTCTGAGGCAAGAAAATCCGCCAATAAGCGCAGGACCCACCAAGGTAGAGGAGGAACTTTGTCACAGTATTTATAGAGACAGATAAGAGAGCACATATCCCAAGTGTTGGCCTCTGCACAGCATTGTAAGAAAAACTTGCAAAATTTTGACTATGTTCTGCTCTGCAGCAGTTCATCCTCCATAACATTCTCCTGCCTTTACCCGAAAAGGCATACCATTCATCATCTGTAAATTCACATCCTTCACCAATCAAAGAACTCTCTGCCCTCTGCAACTACTAGACCTCTATGCCCTACACCAATATAGCCTTCTCTACTGTTGCCTGAGCTATTGATTATGTATTGATCTCCCTGATTATTCCCAATTAACACTCTGAAATATGGTAAGTTCTTATCCCTAGATCAGGACCAGTATTATCAAAATTACTGTTTAGCTGCGAGCCCCATTGTGCCCATCTGTGACAACAACTCACACTCCAGGAAGACTATTTGTGATTGGAAATTTTTTATTATTACTATGTTTATTATGATATAGCTGTAAGACTTGAGCGGGACTCCTCTCATGTTTAAAGTTAGGCACTGGCTCCTTTGTTATTTCCAGATCAGTGCCTTAGGTAGGAATAGAAATGGGATCAGTTTTAAATTCATAATCATTGAGTGTTTGGACAAGATACTATGACAATTTTGGTCAACTGAATACATTTTTCAGAAAACTCACTAAATAATCCATTGTATCCAATAAGGCAAGAGGAACTGAGCATGTTAAAATATATCCAGTCAAAACAACTCAAAGCTCATAGACAATGCATGTCATGTAGATCTTGAAAATGAGCTATGGTCTAAGAAATATTCACAGAAATCCTTTTATGTGTAATCCTGAATAATGAATATTGTCAAGGAAATCATGACCTGGACAGCAAGATTCCTGGACAGAAAAAGAGGCACAATAATTGACATTGATCATTCATGATGTATCTGTCTATTCTGCATTTATATAATGCACATGTACCTTACACAAATATGGTTTATTATTATTTTATTATAGTAACAGCTAACTACTGTGCTCTAGACATTGTGATTATTTTAAAGAAAGTCAAAGCATAATGAGGGTATTTGAGCCACTAAAATGCTGGCTTTTTACGGCGGGTTTAACAAAACTTCTGTCTCACCAGACACTGTGGAGTCCATATGGGGTCAGGATTAACTGGTGACTCATGGGGATTAATTTTATACAGTAGCTGTGACGTTCCCCTCTGGTGTTATCTGGACCTTTGATCTGCTAGGTT